CGGGTACTTAATATGAGCTAGGAAAATACTTGGGTACACATGTCGCAGAAATATGGTAGATAAATTAATCATTATAAGCATTTTCGAAACTTTTATTGTATATAAATTCATCAGTCGGTAAATAGAAGAAATACCCAATAAGCATATTTGAAACGTTTATTGTATATAAATTAATCAGTCGGTAAGTAGAAGAAATACCCATAAAATGATAATTATAATGCAACAACTGAAAATCGCAAATTTTGGTCTATCAAAATAAATGAGACTTCAAACTCTGTGGTTCGTGGAATATCGGCATATATTGAACCTCAGTATATTATCAATCACAAAGCGGAAGGCTACTACACCAAACCTTAAAATTAAAATATTCGCATATTTTCTTTATTAGCACAAGGAATAGAGAAGAGCCTATAGAAGGTGTACTACCTTAATATATTGAACTTTACAAATGATGTTGAGATAAAGATCCTGTAAATTGTCTAGAAACAAAGTTTTCGATATTTTAAAACAATTCGTTGATAATGATTTAAAGCAACAGGTAACTAATATTAATCAATTAAAAATTCTTGTTCTCTTTCTTTCTTTCTTCTTTTCTTTTTCTTTCTTTACGTTTTTTTTTCTTTAATTTTTCATAATCTTGTTCATAAAAAGTTTGTTCACTTTCATTACCTGATGTATATTCACTAATATAAAATTAAATAAAATTAAATAAAATTAAATAAAATTAAATAAATTAAATAAAAATTTATTTATTTATTTATTTATTTTTTAAAAAAAAATATATACGTACGTATTCATGCTTAAAGATGGGTATTGAGATAAACCTAAAGAATCTATTTTTGATTAATATTCAGGTTTAAATACATACTATATACTTAAAATAACTATATAGATAAATAAATTATCGTTGCCAATCATATTTATTTTAATTTTAGCCAATCAAACCAAACTTCTGCTCAGGGACGGTGAATACTTTCATTAAGATATAAACGGAATAAAATAATAAATTAAAATTATCGGAAGTAAATAGAATTTTTAGCAAAGTAACGCTAATTTGTGTAATTATTATGTAAAAAACCAATCACAATTGCGGATTCGCATATTCGCATAATGAAAATATCACTGCCGTAATAAATTATATAGTAAAATTTACGTAATTAATTTTAACAATATTAAGTATTGCAGTATAAAGTCTTCAGCGACAGTAAGTAAATTTAGAAATTTGTATTCAATAAAGTTAAAAAATTCGCCTTCTTATACTATTACAGTTGATTCTCGTGCAAAAGAATTTTTTGAAGATTTTTTGTCGATAATAAAAAGCTTATGTGTAAATTTTGTGGCTGTAGTGTCAATTTTTATGCAAAAAACACAATTGTGACCCATATAACTTCTCAAAAACATATTCGTAATAAGGAAAACCACCTTAAAACACATCAATCAATGCTTCAACCCACGACTTACCAATTTCAAATAAAAAATGCTATTGTATTTGATTTAGTAGATGCATTTGTTGCTGCAGATATTCCGTTGGAAAAGGTAGATAAACTTCAAGAATAGCTACGTAAAAATTGTTATGAGGGAGGAGTTATACCAAAAACACATACTTTGCGACGTGAATATTTACCACAAGTGTTTGAAAAGCATCTCGATCAGCTTAAAGAGTATTTTAATAACAAACGGGTTTCAATCATTGTGGATAAAACTACTGATGCTAGAGCTCGAAGTGTAGTTAACATTCTTTTTAGTTATGAAGGTGTGACGAAATTAGTTCATGTTGATTACTTGGAGACAGTTAACAATTGTAGTATAGGTCAACTTGTAGTTCAAATTTTGGTCCAGTGGTCAATTCTGTTCAATTTACTATTGTTGGTTGCATCTGATTCTGCAGCCTATATGAAGAAAAGCTTCCGTGAAATTTTAAAGCCGATCATGCCACAATTAACACACTTATCATGTTTGGCGCATATTGTTAATCTTATTGGGTTAGTATTTTAATTTACTTTTTTATTTATCATTATATATTATTAAATTAACTATCGCTACGTATTAATATTTTTTTAGAGAAGCATGGTTTTCAATTGAGCATTTTCAAGTAATCCATCAACTACTTGCTAATGTTAAGCAAACTTTTACTTTGAATAAAAGTAGATGTGCACGTTATTTATCATATCTTCGTCGTTATGGTGTATCTAAACCAACAAATATTCCAGTATTTAATGCAACACGATGGAATACCCGATTTCGTATGGCATTTTATATATATCAACACTTGGACTACATTCGTGGATTTTATGAAGAAGAAAGTAAAGAAAATTCTACACCAACAATTGAGAAAATACATTCAGCTTTTACTAATCAACAAATAAATGGCCGTATAGAAATTTATTTGGCATTCATTCAAGAAAGTGCGGAACATTTTGTGGCTGATTTGGATTTTTTTCAACAAGAAATAAAACCAATGTTTCCTTTTGTTGAACAAAGATTACAACAACTTGAAGCATGAATAATTGCAGGAAAAACAGCAACTTATTTTGGATCAATTGTAGATACTGTGTTACAAAAATTAAATACTTCTATAGCATCATTTGCTCCAATATTTCAGCAAGCATATAGTGCCGCTTATAAAAAACTCCAAGATCATATTTTGTAACATCCTGCACGTCCTTTGTTTAAGGCTGCTCAAATTTTTGATCCACGATTTTTAGCATTAACAACTGCTAATCGGGATATCTGCTCTTATAAAATTATCAAAGAGTTGGTTAATCCGTCACCATCTCTTATTCAAGAATGGGCAATTTATTGTAACATTAATTTGTATACTATAGAATTTACGGATATAAATGAATTTTGGAATAAGGTTTCTTCACAAATTCCTCTTTTAGAAAAAATTGCCCGTTATTATATCTGGTTACCAATTTCTTCTTGTGCTGTTGAACGAAGTTTTTCTTCATACAACAAAATTTTAGATGACGATAGACACAATTTAAGTACTGAATCGCTTAAATTTCTTACAATGTTGTATTTTAATAATCAAAATTAAAAATTTGATTATGTTATTAAAATAAATTGCTTGCAAATATTAGCTAATCAGAAACTTAAATATAGTATCACGTGTTAATGGAATAAAATGGAATAATTAGCGTTATCATCATAAAATTCGTAATTTAATAAAATAAGTATTCCCTGTCCCTGCTTCTGCTATGCCTATTCACTGAGTCCGGACCGAAAGGATCGGACTTTTAACAGCCCTAATGAACATAGTGAAATACATTTAGAAATGGACGAGCGAAAGTAAATAAATTAAAGATCATGTGACAGGACTTCGATTAGGACTCGGTCCTTGAGTCAAGTTCGTGCATGTAATAACAATAAATCCATCTCATGTAAATTAGCCAACCACATCCATTCCCTTCTAGAACAAAAGACATGCATATGGGACTTTGTCCGGGAGAAGTAAATTAGCAAATCACATGCAAGCCCTTCTAGAACAAAAGATATGCATATGGGACTTTGTCTAGGGACAGGCAGGCAGGTCCTAAAAAGTTCGTGTGAAGTCGACTCAAGGACCGGGTCCGACAAGCTTTTTAACAGCCCTAATGTTCATACATACATTTAAGCAATTTTAGTAATGCAGTAAAAGCAAAAATTAACATTGAAAATATTCTAGCGCAAAATACATCGGATTTTTTTCTACTGTATTATTGTATGATTTTATTCTATTTTATTTTATGAATATGATGAATATGATGAATATGTTAAATTTTTTTGAATAAGTAAAATAAGAATTTGATAAATGTGATAAATAAATATAGTAACTAGTTATATAATTATATAAAGTTCTTTTTAATATGACAGAATAACGAAAACTTTCTAAATTGTAATTAAGTAAATGCTTGCATTATGGTTTTGCAAAAAAAAAAAAAAAAAAAAAAAATAGCGGGGAAAATTGTGATTATGATTATAATTTAAATTAATAAAGCTTGTAAAGATTCTTCTAAGGTTTCATCATGATATGGTTCCATAGGAGGTTTTTTAGGATGGAAATAAAAGGATGATTCGGAAGAAATTTTATTATCCTTATTGTCTTTATTATCCTTATTGTCCAAAAACCAATGAATAGTTGTAATTTTAGAATTTTTTGATATTTTTAAGCGATGAAGTTCGCATTCAATTCCTAAAATATCAGAGACTTGAGTTTGAGGGTCTGTTATTGCAAATTCAGTCAAGTTTTGACATTTTTTCAACCATTTCCAATCGCAATCAGTAAAGTTCCACTTTGCGAGTTCAAGATGTTTAAAGGATTCAGGTCGAGATTTCAATATTTTAATTAGCAAATATCCAGGACCCTTGGGAAATACTAATCGAAGATTTAAAAGGCGTTCCTGATTAGAGAAAAATCGGTTAAGATCATTGAGCAATTCTACAACACGGACAGTATGGTTATCGTAAAGATTGATATCGAGATGAGACTAGAGAAAATGAAATAT